TAAAAAAAAAAAAAAAAAAAAAATACATAGTAGCATACGGAAATGTACTATCTATAAGACTAAATATATTATGAACTATATTTAGAATAGGCTGAACTAAATACTCGATGGGTTAGATTGTGTAGTTTTATGAAAGCTGTTTCTGAGCTTGTTATTACATACCAAGAGCGGGTTTCCATTTCTCTGTACAGCAAGAGGACCACCAGAGTCACCAGTGCAAATATTTTTGCCAACAACACTGCCTGTGCAAATAATTCCCGGTAGAACAATTGACCCAAAAGCTGAAGCGCATTCATCGTTGGAGATCACAGGCCACCAACTATGTAACAAATAAAGAATTTGGTTTACAATTTCAATATTTGAGAGACTCATCAAAATATTATTATAATATAAAAGTTCCTTACTTCCAGGATTATTGCCAAAACCAGAGGCAATAGCAACGTCACCAGTAAAATCCTCTTCGATCTGAGATCCAGAAGGCAGGGCGATGGGAGCGAGGATGCCTGGAGATTAAGACGCTTGAGTTATATTCGAAGGCTTTTTAGTTTGGTTTGTATTCTTATATTCTAGACCAGAAATGTATTCATTATGGAATTGTCTATCAACACCTTCTTTAGACGTGGTATCATTATTTTAAAACTGTTGCCGTTTTAGAAATGACCTGAGCTGAGTTTTTGTTTTCATTACCATACATGATCTTTGTCCGATGAAAAATGTTAGTAATCCAACAAATACTTACTTGAGAATTGAACTGGAGATGGTAAGTTGATGATAGCAATGTCACTTCTGAATATGGAAATGTCATAGTTTTCGTGCAAAATATAGTCGCTACTAATTATTCTTACACCACCTGACATTAGAGTGGTAGATCCAAGGACAACAGTCACACTCGGAACATTTGCTACACCATCATTCAAGTTGTGTGCAGCAGTCAGTATTCTGTTATTGGAGATTAGTGATGCACTGGCGATACCATTACCATAAGGTTGGTGTAATAATAAACCGGCCTGTAAAAGAAATTCAATGTGACTCATCACTATTTAGAGAGAAAATAATTGTTTCATGATTCTTGTAGTTGTAGAACATAATATAACATAATATCACGCATTTTTATCCCTGAAATGGTAGGCAGAAGTACAGTGGCATTAAGTGCCGTAATGTGCATTACGGCACTTAATGCCACTGTAGAACATTGTAGAACATATTACAATAATTACAAGGTAATCAAAATCATGAATATTAATAATATGTACCTAGTACCCACCTGATAGGGAAATTGTCCAAGAGCAGCTAACGAACCACCGACAATTCTGGATGGATTTTGTCTGCCTTCCTCTTCAGCAATACGAAGTTAGTTAGTTAGAAAGATAAGCTATATTCGGCAAATAGATAATTATTTAGGAAGATAAAAATCTATATTAAATTTAACCTGAAAATAACAATTTGGTTTTTCCAAGAATATAATTCTGTTACGTTCTAGGTAGGCATAAGATTAATTTTCGGTGACGAAGGTATAGGAATGTTCTGATAATTATATAATTATCTATTATTTTGACGTAAACATAGTCCTCACTCAAAAACACGGACCTGCTTTCACTATTGTCATTAATGTTATCATAGTTCTTGGATAAACAGTCTGAAACTGAACTTAGTAACACTATAAATGCGTACCTTTTCTATATTTTAAATGGACTAACCATTTTTGTAATGTTGTATCCTGGTAGTTGTTTTACATAGATATTTGAATTTTATATCTTTCATCTCCTACTACAGAATATTTTTTGTTTATTTTTGTATTTTTCAATTTAAACAGTTAGTTTAGTGTGTACTTCATCCCTTCGATACTTTGGTGGTTCATTTCTAATGTTGATCTTTGGCTAGCTGTGTCTTTGTTTCTCCAAAAATAGTTTCCGCGAATGGCAGGAAAGAAATATATTCCATGTAAATACATATACCTCTATACCTACTTATTATAATTTTCAAAGCACACGAGGGTCCAGGACTTTAGTGGCTTGAATAATATGATCTACTCTATTCGCAAGATAATCTGATTTTGTTACAATATACCTAAAACCGCAAATGAGTCGACATCATGGATGAAAATATACTTACATATATTGCAAGTAAAAAAAAGCTTTTAAAAAATTATTGATACTTTGTGAGTCTTTTACAAGATCAATTCAAAAATATTGCAGATTTGTGTTGCTTACAATGCAATCAATTTTATATCGAAACAATAAAATAATTTATTAATTGGGTACGTCAACTAGCGCTTTCTTTTAAGTTCGGCAAAGTATTAAGATTTTCGATTTTGTTATCCTTAAAATGCCGTAAGATATTCTTACGGCATTTTAACAGTAACTTAACAGTTACCGAAACCCCAATTCTTCCCTCACCTATCCTCGGTCCCCAAATCTTCTAATTCTCAAATCCCTAACCCCAAAAGGGCCGACAACGCTCTTCTGATTCCTTGGTGTTGCGGGTGTCCATAGGTGGCGCCGATTGTTTACCATCGGGTGACCATCTGCTCTATTGCTGCCCTATCTCATACAAAAGGCACCTCCGATGATACGAAGTCACACTTTTAAGCCCCAACAGGGTCTACCCTGTGTGTGACGTCATGTTACGTAATGCTTAGAATGTTGTCTTTACGTGTGGTATCAAATAGATTGATAAATTCCGTTATCAAACCATATCTATTCGTATTAAGGTACATACAAAATGATGACAGAATCAATTATTACCTAATACGAGATACAGGGTATGGGCCAGTTCCAACTACATTCTGAAAACCATTGCAGGGAGGTACGATTCTCCTATATTATATGGTATCGTGCGAAGATATATTCCCAACAGTAGGCTTGTAACCAAAGAGGTACCTACTAACATAGTTTTTAAAATTTTCCTTACTAACCCCTATGGATGTATCACTTGTCCGAAATAAACATTATTTTATTTATTTATTTTTAAAGACATTATTTATTCTTATATTTATGTATATTATTACAGACGTGCATTAATCCAGTTGATGTAGTTTGTAACCCTAGCGTATCCAGAAGGAGAACCGCCATCGCATCTCCCACTGCCGAACGAAACAACACCAATCTGTAAGAATAATTGAACATTTCATTAAAACCAACAATCTTTTGAAATATGTAGGAACTTACATATTAAAATATTTATTTGGTTCTTAAAAATGAACAGATGAAAATAAAAAAATAAAAAAGAGTTACAGTTTAATGAATGGTCAATGTCCAGTAGGTAGTGGACGAAAATGGTGCTTAAGATGATTATCAAGATTTCAATATTTACTCCAAAAATTGTTTAGTTTTAAAGTCGGTTGAACTTAATATTTCATGCATACCAACAATGGGTTACCGCTTCTCTGTAAAGCAAGAGGACCGCCAGAGTCACCACTGCAAATGTTCTTGCCAACAACACTACCCGTGCAGATAATTCCAGGCTGAATTACTGATCCATAAGATGCGGCGCATTCATTGTTCGTAATTATAGGCAAGTCCACATAGCTAAATGGCTGGTTTGCAAGCACACCACCAACTGTGTAACAAAGAAAGGAATATTATTTACAAGTTCAATAATTTACTCATTAAAATAGTTATTGATAAAACTACTGTATAATCTAAAATTTCTTACTTGCAGGATTCATTCCAAAACCAGAGGCAATTGCAACTTCACCAACAAAATCTTCTTGGAGCAGAGATCCAGAAGGCAGAGCGATGGGAGCCACGATATCTGAAGATTAGGATGACAGAGTTACTATTGGAACGAATCATATTTTGTTTCTATTGTTATCAGTAAAAATATAAACAATTCCTCATGCCAATGATGAGGGCTTTTTGAGGTCTTGTGGTAAAAAAACTAAAATATTTTTTTCATTGCTTCAAATAATCAACATTAAAACAGTTCAATATTATAAAATACAAAAAAAAAATAGAATCAAATTATACTTACTTGAGAATTGGACAGGAGATGGCAAGTTGATGATAGCAATGTCACTTCTTACTACGGAAATGTCATAATTTTCGTGTAAAACGTAGTTACTGGTAGTTTGTCTTACACCACCAGACATTAGAGTTGTAGATCCAAGGACAACAGTCACACTCGAGACACTCGATACACCATCATTCAAGTTGTGTGCAGCAGTTAGTATTCTGTTGTTGGAGATTAGAGATGCACTGGCGACAGCAGATATAGCAGGGAAATTTAATACTAAGCCGGCCTGTAAAACGTATTCCTTGTGATATTCGACTTGAAGTAATCAAGTTATGTATGTGAGTGATAATAATTATTTTATTTGACCTTGGTTATGTATGTTTTTAGTATCCATTATAAAAATTTAGAATTAGTACCCACCTGGTACGGGAACTGTCCAAGAACAGCTAATGAACCACCAACGATTCTAGATGGATTCTGGCTGCCTTCTTCCTCAGCTATTCGGACTTTATCAGCATATGGTATGGCGATCCTCTTGATGTAATCGTACGGAGTGTTATTTTCTAATTCGATGACATCTTCAAGTGTGATGTGCCTCGCGGAGGCGGCCACTGCTAGGGCCAACACAGTCACTGCCAATAACTTCATGCTGTCGTTCACTTTCGTTATGTGCTTATCAATAGATACAACTTCGTTTATATACATAGTAGCACATTAACAAGAGATAAGCTACATTTAGTAGATTGATAATTATTTACATAGATAAAAATCAATCTTACATTGTACATGAAAATAAGAATTTGGTTTCTCCACAAATAATATTCTATGACGTAGGTACCAAGTAGATTTTAGATTAATATACAGTGACGAACGAAGGTAAAATTTCGTTCTGAGATATTATTTTGACTTAAACATTGCAATCAATGTAAAGCACGGACATGCTTTTATAATATCAATGAACTTAAACGAGTTTCTTTGGTTAACCAATATAGAGTTAGAAATAATGCTAATACATATTATTTAAAACGGTAATCATGGTAACTCCGTCTAACACGTATACTTACTTACACACTCGTTTAATACTTTTTTAAAATAAAGAGTATATATTTTTATAATAACTATCGTGAGACATACTAAATTAAGTAAAAACGCGGGTTACTCACGTGAATATACTGAGAAAAGCTTTTCTCAGTATATTCACGTGAGTAACCCGCGTTTTTACTTAAAAGAATATATAGTTTATCGGGGTCTATAAATTATAATTTTTTTGTGTCTGCTGTTCCTTTTTATCTCCTTTAACGGCTTATATTATAATCAATTTTTAAATTTATTCTGTTGTGGTGGCATCCAAGACGGTTTATTATAAAATAGTAAGCAAATCTGAAGTCCAATTACAGCTGTACATAATCCATTTATATCAAATCACATAAAGAATTCCTAAATGTTAATCCATTTTTCTGTAATAAATTTTGTTCAATTTTTGAAAACTAAAAATTAGTAAAAAGCGGCCATACAAGATATCAAACGTAACAAAAGGTATGCTCCTATATAATAATACATACATAATAATGTATGTCCCTGTATTGTTATGTATGTCCCTGGAATATTTTAGACCTGTACTGTTGGCTTTGATACTGTTTTTTGATTGATTTATTTCGATGTAGGTCCTAGATCCTGGATTAGAGTCGAAATAGTGTTAATAGCTTTTTATGGGTTAAACCGATAAACAAGCAGACGGATCACCTGATGGTAAGCAATCAGTTTTGCCTATGAACACCTAGAATAACCAGAGGCATTACAAGAGCGTTACCGGCATTTTGGGGATTAGGAGTTTAAGGATCGTTAGGGATTCAGGGATTGGGGAGATGAATATGAGGATTTTGGGCAATCAGAGGTTAAGGAGATTGGGGGAAGGGGGAGGGTACCATACACCATGGGTGACCATAGATACTGAGCTCTAATAAATTGTAGTTACCAATTAGTCAGTGACAATAAGTTTGATTTCTTCACAGTAAAAACTTGAAAAGTAAGTTATTTAGAATATTTGTTAGGATGTTTTCTTTCGATATAGCTATAGTTTACCTAAATTAAAATAGAAGACAGAATATGGGCAAATATTAACAAAATACGTTTAATGTATTACAGATGCTCGTTAATCCAGTCTACATAGTGCGTAACTCTGGCGTACCCAGCAGGAGAACCGCCGTCGCATGCACCACCACGTCTGAATGAAACGACACCAATCTGGGAAAAAAAATATTTGATGAAATTACGCGTACTTTTCTCAGATATAGATATTAAGTTATTTTACCACAACGCTTCAGCCCTCATATTTTATAATTTGGCGATTTTATTATACGTACCACTACTGGGCCGGCTAGAGGACCTCCAGAGTCACCAGTGCAGATGTTTTTGCCGACAACGCTACCCGTACATATAATGCCAGGTAGAATAATTGATCCGTAATCTTGTTCGCATTCATCGTTTGAGATCACGGGCAAATCCACATAGCTGAGCGGCTGGTTTGGAATCACACCACCATCTAAAAGAAAAAATTAACGTGCTCTACAGAAAATTCCAGTTACAGTACTTTAAGAAGATGTGAATAACATTTCCTTACTTCCAGGATTAATTCCAAAACCAGAGGCAATGGCAATTTCTCTTCAGCAATACGGAGTTCATCAGCCAATGGTATGGCAATAGTTTTGATGTAACCGTACGGAGTGTTCTTTTCTAATTGGATTACATCTTCAAGCGTGATGTGCTTTGCGGAGGCGGCCACTGCTAGAGCTAGCAGAGTCACTGCCAACAACTTCATGTTGCTGTTCACATTAGTTGTGTGCTTGTTAATACTAGTTGATAGACACCTTCGTTTATATAAAGCAGCACTTCAAGGAAAGATAAGCTATATTTGGCAAATAGATAATTATTTAGGACGATAAAAATCTATATTAAATTGAACCTGAAAATAACAATTTGGTTTTTCCAAGAATATAATTCTGTTACGTTCTAGGTAGGCATAAGATTAATTTTCGATGACGAAGGTATAGGAATGTTCTGATAATTATATAATTATCTATTATTTTGACGTAAACATAGTCCTCACTCAAAAACACGGACCTGCTTTCACTATTGTCATTAATGTTATCATAGTTCTTAGATAAACAGTCTGAAACTGAACTTAGTAACACTATAAATGCGTAGGTACCTATTCTACATTTTAAATAGACTAACCATTTTAGTAATGTTGTATCCTGGTAGTTGATATTTACATAGATATTTGAATTTTATATCTTTCATCTCCTACTACAGAATATTTTTTGTTTATTTTTGTATTTTTCAATTTAAACAGTTAGTTTAGTGTGTACTTCATCCCTTCGATACTTTGGTGGTTCATTTCTAATGTTGATCTTTGGCTAGCTGTGTCTATGTTTCTCCAAAAATAGTGTCCGCGAATGGCAGGAAAGAAATATATTCCATGTAAATACATATACCTCTATACCTACTTATTATAATTTTCAAAGCACACGAGGGTCCAGGACTTTAGTGGCTTGAATAATATGATCTACTCTATTCGCAAGATAATCTGATTTTGTTACAATATACCTAAAACCGCAAATGAGTCGACATCATGGATGAAAATATACTTACATATATTGCAAGTAAAAAAAAGCTTTTAAAAATTACTGATACTTTGTGAGTCTTTTACAAGATCAATTCAAAAATATTGCAGATTTGTGTTGCTTACAATGCAATCAATTTTATATCGAAACAATAAAATAATTTATTAATTAGGTACGTCAACTAGCGCTTTCTTTTAAGTTCGGCAAAGTATTAACATTTTCGATTTTGTTATCCTTAAAATGCCGTAAGATAATTCTTACGGCATTTTAACAGTAACTTAACAGTTACCGAAAACCCAATTCTTCCCTCACCTATCCTCGGTCCCCAAATCTTCTAATTCTCAAATCCCTAACCCCAAAAGGGCCGACAACGCTCTTCTGATTCCTTGATGTTGCGGGTGTCCATAGGTGGCGCCGATTGTTTACCATCGGGTGACCATCTGCTCTATTGCTGCCCTATCTCATACAAAAGGCACCTCCGATGATACGACGTCACACTTTTAAGCCCCAACAGGGTCTACCCTGTGTGTGACGTCATGTTACGTAATGCTTAGAATGTTGTCTTTACGTGTGGTATTAAATAGTCTGATAAATTCCGTTATCAAACCATATCTATTCGCATTATAGCAAATATGAAATGAGGACAGAATCAATTATTATCTAATACGAGGTACAGGGTGCGACCAGTTCCAACTTCATTCTGAAAACCATTGCAGGGAGGTACGATTCACCTATAATATATTATTATGGTATCGTGCGAAGATATATTCCCAACAGTAGGCTTGTAACCAAAGAGGTACCTACTAACATAGTTTTTAAAATTTTCCTTACGAACCCCTATGGATGTATCACTTGTCCGTAATAAACATTATTTTATTTATTTATTTTTAAAGACATGATTTATTCTTATATTTATGTATATTATTACAGACGTGCATTAATCCAGTTGATGTAGTGTGTAACCCTAGCGTATCCAGAAGGAGAACCGCCATCGCATCCACCACGGCCGAACGAAACAACACCAATCTGTAAGAATAATTGAACATTTCATTAAAACCAACAATCTTTTGAAATATGTAGGAATATTAAAATATTTATTTGGTTCTTAAAAATGAACAGATGAAAATAAAAAAATAAAAAAGAGTTATAGTTTAATGAATGGTCAATGTCCAGTAGGTAGTGGACGAAAATGGTACTTAAGATGATTATCAAGATTTCAATATTTACTCCAAAAATTGTTTAGTTTTAAAGTCGGTTGAACTTAATATTTCATGCATAAGATTCTTAGTACACATACCAACAATGGGTTACCGCTTCTCTGTAAAGCAAGAGGACCGCCAGAGTCACCACTGCAAATGTTCTTGCCAACAGCACTACCCGTGCAGATAATTCCAGGCTGAATTACTGATCCATAAGATGCGGCGCATTCATTGTTCGTAATTATAGGCAAGTCCACATAGCTAAATGGCTGGTTTGCAAGCACACCACCAACTGTGTAACAAAGAAAGGAATATTATTTACAAGTTCAATAATTTACTCATTAAAATAATTATTGATAAAACTACTGTATAATCTAAAATTTCTTACTTGCAGGATTCATTCCAAAACCAGAGGCAATTGCAACTTCACCAACAAAATCTTCTTGGAGCAGAGATCCAGAAGGCAGAGCGATGGGAGCCACGATATCTGAAGATTAGGATGACAGAGTTACTATTGGAACGAATCATATTTTGTTTCTATTGTTATCAGTAAAAATATAAACAATTCCTCATGCCAATGATGAGGGCTTTTTGAGGTCTTGTGGTAAAAAAACTAAAATATTTTTTTCATTGCTTCAAATAATCAACAATAAAACAGTTCAATATTATAAAATACAAAAAAAAAATAGAATCAAATTATACTTACTTGAGAATTGGACAGGAGATGGCAAGTTGATGATAGCAATGTCACTTCTTACTACGGAAATGTCATAATTTTCGTGTAAAACGTAGTTACTGGTAGTTTGTCTTACACCACCAGACATTAGAGTTGTAGATCCAAGGACAACAGTCACACTCGAGACACTCGATACACCATCATTCAAGTTGTGTGCAGCAGTTAGTATTCTGTTGTTGGAGATTAGAGATGCGCTAGCGAGACCAGTTCTAGTAGGGTAATTCAATAGTAAGCCGGCCTGTAAAACGAATTTTTTGTGATATTCGACTTGAAGTAATCAAGTGATGTATTTTATTGCCAGTGATAATAATTCTTTTATTTGAGCTTGATTGTGTATATTTTTAGTTTTTAGTATTCATTATAAAAAAATTGGATTAGTACCCACCTGGTACGGGAATTGTCCAAGAACAGCTAATGAACCACCAACGATTCTAGATGGATTCTGGCTGCCTTCTTCCTCAGCTATTCGGACTTTATCAGCATATGGTATGGCGATCCTCTTGATGTAATCGTACGGAGTGTTTTTTTCTAATTCGATGACATCTTCAAGTGTGATGTGCCTCGCGGAGGCGGCCACTGCTAGGGCCAACACAGTCACTGCCAATATCTTCATGCTGTCGTTCACTTTCGTTATGTGCTTATCAATAGATACAACTTCGTTTATATACATAGTAGCACATTAACAAGAGATAAGCTACATTTAGTAGATTGATAATTATTTACATAGATAAAAATCAATCTTACATTGTACATGAAAATAAGAATTTGGTTTCTCCACAAATAATATTCTATGACGTAGGTACCAAGTAGATTTTAGATTAATATACAGTGACGAACGAAGGTAAAATTTCGTTCTGAGATATTATTTTGACTTAAACATTGCAATCAATGTAAAGCACGGACATGCTTTTATAATATCAATGAACTTAAACGAGTTTCTTTGGTTAACTAATATAGAGTTAGAATTAATGCTAATACATATTATTTAAAACGGTAATCATGGTAACTCCGTCTAACACGTATACTTACTTACACACTCGTTTAATACTTTTTTTAAATAAAGAGTATATATTTTTATAATAACTATCGTGAGACATACTAAATTAAGTAAAAACGCGGGTTACTCACGTGAATATACTGAGAAAAGCTTTTCTCAGTATATTCACTAAAAGAGTATATAGTTTATCGGGGTCTATAAATTATAATTTTCTTGTGTCTACTGTTCCTTTTTATCTCCTTTAACGACTTATATTATAATCAATCTTTAAATTTATTCTGTTGTGGTGGTATCCACGACAGTTTATTTATTTATTTTACATACGTACAGATACAGACGACAGATTGAAATCGTACACAACAATCTTAATTATAAAATAGTAAGCGAACCTGAAGTTTACATTACAGCTGTACATAATCCATTTTTATCAAATCACATAAAGAATTCCTAAATGTTAATCCATTTTTCTTTGAAAAATTTTGTTCAATTTTTGAAAACTAAAAATTAGTAAAAGGCGCCCTATATAGTCCCTATATAATAATACATACACAATAATGTATGTCCCTGTATTGTTATGTATGTCCCTGGAATATTTTTGACCTGTACTGTTGGCTTTGATACTGTTTTTTGATTGATTTATTTCGATGTAGGTCCTAGATCCTGGATTAGAGTCGAAATAGTGTTAATAGCTTTTTATGGGTTAAACCGATAAACAAGCAGACGTATCACCTGATGGTAAGCAATCAGTTTTGCCTATGAACACCTAGAATAACCAGAGGCATTACAAGAGCGTTACCGGCATTTTGGGGATTAGGAGTTTAAGGATCGTTAGGGATTCAGGGATTGGGGAGATGAATATGAGGATTTTGGGCAATCAGAGGTTAAGGAGATTGGGGGAAGGGGGAGTGTACCATACACCATGGGTGACCATAGATACTGAGCTCTAATAAATTGTAGTTACCAATTAGTCAGTGACAATAAGTTTGATTTCTTCACAATAAAAACTTGAAAAGTAAGTTATTTAGAATATTTGTTAGGATGTTTTCTTTCGATATAGCTATAGTTTACCTAAATTAAAATAGAGGATAGAATATGGGCAAATATTAACAAAATACGTTTAATGTATTACAGATGCTCGTTAATCCAGTCTACATAGTGCGTAACTCTGGCGTACCCAGCAGGAGAACCGCCGTCGCATGCACCACCACGTCTGAATGAAACGACACCAATCTGGTAAAAAAAATATTTGATGAAATTACGCGTACTTTTCTCAGATATAGATATTAAGTTATTTTACCACAACGCTTCAGCCCTCATATTTTATAATTTGGCGATTTTATTATACGTACCACTACTGGGCCGTTATTCCTCTGGACGGCAAGAGGACCTCCAGAGTCACCAGTGCAGATGTTTTTGCCTACAACGCTACCCGTACATATAATGCCAGGTAGAATAATTGATCCGTAATCTTGTTCGCATTCATCGTTTGAGATCACGGGCAAATCCACATAGCTGAGCGGCTGGTTTGGAATCACACCACCATCTAAAAGAAAAAATTAACGTGCTTTACAGAAAATTCCAGTTACAGTACTTGAAGAAGATGTGAACAACATTTCCTTACTTCCAGGATTAATTCCAAAACCAGAGGCAATGGCAATTTCCCCAGCGAAGTCGTCATTCAGTTGAGACCCAGAAGGAAGAGCGATAGGACTGAGGATGCCTAAAAAGTAAAATAAAATATTAATAATTGAAACATGCTGTTATAATATTAACTGTAAAACAAAATCTAGGTTTTGTTCAAGTCAAACACAAATTCATACTCACTTGAAAATTGAACTGGTGATGGTAAGTTGATGATAGCAATGTCACTTCTGAATACGAAGACGTCGTAATTTTCATGCAAAACATAGTTGCTAGTAGTTTGTCTTACACCACCAGACATTATAGTGGTAGTTCCAAGGACAACAGTCACACTCGGGACAGTTGACCAGCCATCATTCAAGTTGTGTGCAGCAGTCAATATTCTGTTATTGGAGATTAGAGATGCGCTGGCAAGACCATTGGTAGAAGGGTGATGTAAAATTAAGCCGGCCTGTAAAATAAATTCTCTCATGTGTATTTTGTAAACACAGAATTAGGTCCTACCAGTAGTCTTGATTTAATAAAAAAAAATAATATTAAGTATCAACCTGATACGGTAACTGTCCTAGAGCAGCAAATGAACCACCGACAATCCTGGATGGATTTTGTCTGCCTTCCTCCTCAGCTATGCGGACTTCGTCAGCCAACGGTATGGCGATACTCTTGATGTAACCGTAAAGGGTGTTCTTTTCTAATTCGATGACATCTTCAAGCGAAATGTGCCTCGCGGAGGCGGCTACTGCTAGAGCCAACAAAGTTACTATCAAGACCTTCATGTTGCTGTTCATAACGAACTCAGTAATTATTGAAAGACACCTACTTTTATATAGAAGCAGGACTTTGACAAGATAAGCCATATTTTGTGTACAGATAACTAATAACTAGATTATTGTCAACATTAAATATTGGAAATGATAAAATAAACCCACCGGTTTTTACACCTGTTCGGTTGCTTTGATTAAACCAATCTAGAGAACTAAAAGTAATGGTTTCTACATTGTTTCTTTTTGCTGAAATGAGTATGCTAAGAAATCGGTGGTAGGTAAATAAGTAGGTAAGTAACTTACCACTTTTTTAAGACTACTCGGTTGACTGGTTACATTAATACGTATAGTTGTGCCTGTTATAGGAATCATGAACATTTATGACGACTTTGTAAGTTTTTATTTCATAAATTATAATCATTTCGAGAAAATTAATCAAGGTTTGATACCTCACGCAGTAAACACAGTACAAACAGTGAGTTATTAAATAAAACAACTTGTAATGAATATTTTAAAGACGTTCGTTTATCCAGTCAACATAGTGGGTGACCCTGGAGTATCCCGCTAGACCTTGAAGTCCACAAAACCTGGGCCCAAATGAAACAACACCAATTTGTTGGAAGAATGATTCTTTTAGAATTAAATAATTACTTTTTCTTATCTAATAGTATCTAGACGTGATAGTGAGTAAACGATAACGATCATGGACATTTGCTACACCAGAAGAATTATAAGTTCGTTATTGGCGTTTTGGGGATTAGGAATTGAGATGGCACCGGTAGCCGATAACTTACACAGGCATTATTTAACGCTGCTTTTCTTTGCCGAAACGTGGCTTTCCCACGTCTTCGTAGCTCAAATTTGATTTTGTAATATTCTAAAAACTTAAAATCTCGACTTTATAATCGATATTTCATATTGGGCACATTTATGACGTAAGTAAACTAAATAGGCCATATTATCCAATACAATGATATTACACACAGTCGAGGGTGCAACAATCTTACAACTTTTATGTTTGTATTATACATACCAAAAGGGAGTTTTCATTCCTCTCAACAGCAAGAAGACCACCAGAGTCGTCGCTGCAAATATTTTTGTCTGTAATGCCGACCGTGCGGACAACGTCAGGTTGAATAATCGATCCGTAAATTTGTGCGCAGTCTTCATTCGACATCACAGGCAATTCCACGAAGCTAACTAAACAAACTACCTGATATACTTAAGTACCACAAACTGCGTATAATAAAACAGTTACTTGAGAATGAACTAATGATAGCAAATTGATGACAACAATGTCACTTCTGAATATGGAAATATCATAGTTTTCGTGTAATACAAAGTCATTGGTAGTTTGTCTTACACTATCACCCATTAAACTAATGGCTCCAAGGACTACGGTCACGCTTGGAACATTTGATACACCATCGTGTTTGTTATGGGCAGCTGTCAGTATTCTGTTATTTGATATTAGAATTGCACTCGGGATGCTAGTACGAAACGACGTAGTAGTTATATGGACCATAAGTTCAGCTTGCAAATTAAATATTTTTTATAAGTGTTTATTAAACATTTTATTATCTTTTTAAAAAGTAAGTCCGATATAATTACTTGATATGAGAACTGTCCAAGTGCAGCAAAAGAACTACCGACGATTCTGGATGCACTTTTGGCATCCTTTTCAGTTATAAGGACTTTGTCAACCAATGGTAAGCTCTTGATGTAATCATAAGAAGTGTTATTTTCTAATCCGACGACATCTTCAAGCGTGACGTGCCTCGCAGAGGCGTCCACTGCTAGAGCCAACAGAATTACCAAGAACTGCATGTTGCTCTTCACAATAAATTCAATACTTGATGACCGAAGGTCGAGGATATTTATATGAATTTCCGAATATCAGATGCCAATTTTTTGTTTGTCTTGATAACAATACACGAGTGAACTCGATCATTACATTTAGAATTCCCCGTGATTATCGATTAAGTAAATGATAATATTCTGTAACTAGCACTTTATCTGTTTAATTTCTCTTTTCTGTGGTTTTACCTAAGAAACGAAAATTTTCCAAGTATTTTACTACGTCACCACCATCAAGGAAAAGGCTTGTTATTAAAACTACGTTAAGTAAAAATTCTTCATCGCCAAATAAATATCGTGGTAGCCTAGAAATTCCAGTGGCACCCACTTCACCTTGACCAAGCTTGGTATTTAATAATTTCTTCGTGTATGAAGAGGTAAAGACTTCTAAATGTATATATATATTTTTAAAACGTTGCCCCACATTGTCTATGTTTTTCTCCTGTGTCGTGGGTGCGTTTACAAACATACAAGTTCACGTACACATGACACCCAGACTCGGAACAAACAATCTGCTTGCGCGGCAGTCAGTTGCCCAACCACCGCGCCAACCGTGCAGTCAATTCCTCTATCATTTCCAAAATTATACCCAGGTACCTACCATAGGATCCTTGATATAACAATTTAGAAGTAGGGGAAGAAAATAGGAGAAGGTACTATGTTTCAATTATAGTTTTTTTTATATTACATCGATCGTTTTTAGGTTTTCGCTTATTTGTAAGTCGGTTTTTTTTATTTTAACTATAGTATTAGCACTGCCATTATCAATATTTTGCAGTGTCCACTTTATTATTACACTTGTTATCTTATACTCATATTTTGGTCCTTTTAACATGTATCTTTTTCCTCCCCCACAGGTTAAGCTAGCAGTATACTTCAGCATATTTACATTCTAACTAGTTTTTATTTCGTTTTTGGTACATATTAGGGACCTTTGATCACAGTTCCATCGTTATTTAATTTGAATCTTAGGAGACAGGTGGTTGAGTTGATGAAAACTTGACTGCTGAGCAAAGACTACTTACCCTGTTATTAATGAAAAGGTTTGGTTTATTTAAGGGTTGTATTCGCTTGTATTTTATGTTACCAGCTCCACACGACTAAACATCGTACAAAATTTAAACTAATAAATACATCCATACCTATTCTTGTAAAATCTGTTAGATTAGTGGTGCATGGCTCTATCCTGCACCACCCTTTCCTGAGGGTCTAGCACGAGTTTGTTTTACGTTTTGTTATATTATCACACTTGGCGCTTTGATTGGCCTGTTCCAACGAACTAATCAATAAGAGGGCTAATCGCGGTAACGTTTCGATCTTGATAAACGTAAAACACCTCTAATAGGTATTGCTCTCGTGCGAGACGGTGTGGCCCGTACAATATTTTACGTTTTTTGCAACTATGTTTTTATATCATATTTATTCCTTGATATTTAGAATAGTGTTTACCATTATTAACATTTACCTTTTATTTAAAAGGAAACCGTATATTTTAATAACTTTGATAATTTCAATATTAAATAAACATGGGTATCATTGGTGGGTACAATATAATTATTACATTGCATTGTTTTTTCGTTATTGAAGGACAATAAAATTAGGATTATGTAATAAAATTATAAATAGGTTTCAAAAATATATTTATTTATTTTACAAGCGTGCGTTTATCCAGTCTACGTAGTTGCTGACTCTAGCGTATCCAGAAGGAGAACCGCCGGAACATCCCGGTGCTCCAAATGAAACAATACCAATCTGAAAGACAAATAGATTATTTAATTAAAACTAGGCTAAGGTACGCTATTTAGAGTTTCGTCGATTGAGTCCCTGTACAATAGGGATGATAACAGGGTTTGAAAATTAAAAATGTAATTAGTCCGCCAGTTTGGCAATGAAAAAATATTAGACACGTATTTGTTTTATTTTTTCGTATAAAAATATAATACTTAGATAAAACGGGAGTTATTTTAGAGTATAAATCGTACTCAAAAGTGATATTACGAAATCATTATTTTCCAATGAAAATAAAAAATATGTGTTGATGTTTTTAAATAATTTACTAGACGGAAATTAAAATATTTTTTATTAGTTTAAGTCATACATACCAAGAGTGGTTGATCATTCCTTTGCACAGCAAGGGGACCACCAGAGTCACCAGTGCAGATATTTTTGCCAACAACACTGCCTGTGCAGACTACGCCAGGCCGAACAATACCTCCATAAATTTGTGCACATTCATTGTTCGAGATCACAGGCAAGTCCACATAGCTTACAGGTTGGTTTGAGATAACGCCAACACCACCGACTGTGTTATAAATAAAAAAAATAATTAGTTTAGACTATATTATAAAGGCTTTCGAAGAAAATAAGAACAAAAAATATAATATAATATTTCCCTTACGTATAGGGTTAATTCCGAAACCAGAGGCGATGGCAACCTCCCCAGCGAAGTCCTCTTCAAGTTGAGAGCCAGAAGGTAGGGCGATAGGAGCGAGGACGCCTGGAAATTAGTATGAATTAATTTTGATTTGCATTTGGCAGTATCAAAACTAAAAATTGTCCTTCTAAATCAGGAGGAGGAATATAAACTAAATAAAATGTATACTCACTTGAAAATTCGACTGAAGATGGCAAATTAATAATAGCAATGTCACTTATAAACTGGAAAAGGTTGAAATTTTCATGCAAAACAAAGTCGCTAGTAGTAAGTCTTACGCCATCACCCAGCAAAGTGGTAGTTCCAAGGACCACGGTTACACTCGGAACATTTGATACACCATCGTTTAAGTTGTGTGCAGCAGTTAGTACTCTGTTATTGGAGATAAGAGCTGCGCTGGCAACACCGTTGCCTATTGGTAGATGAATTACTAGTCCAGCCTGCGAAGCAAAGTCTTTATGATTCTTCTAATTTGGTTAGAGACAATACTATTCTTAGTTTTGCCGTAATTTACTCAATTTTAATTAAAAATTACTGCCTCATTGGCCGAGTGGTCGCAAGTGCGACTGCCGAGCAAGGAGTCTGGGATTCAATTCCCGGTTCGGGTATCTATTACTGGGTTTGTAAAAACCTCAGTAGTAGCACGAAGTATGGAAATGTGCCCGGTATATGGCAATAGGCTCACCCCCTATTACATGGGACTCATAACATAAATAATGAAAAGTGGGTGTTACATTGTACAGTGGCATTAAGTGCCGTAATGTGCACCTATGTCTACCCTTTCGGGGATACAAGGCGTGATGTTATGTTATGTTCATTAAAAATCAAACATGTTTTAGCATAAATCAAAATTGTCTTGTAGTACCTGATACGGCAATTGTCCAAGAGCAGCAAATGAACCACCGATGATTCTAGATGGATTCTGTCTGCCTTCCACTTCAGCAATACGGACTTCGTCAGCTAACGGTATGGCAATACTTTTGATGTAGTCGTACGGGGTGTTCTTTTCTAATTCGATGACATCTTCGAGTGTGATTTGCCTCGCGGAGGCGGCCACTGCTAGTGTCAACAGAGTCACTGCCAAGAACTTCATGTTGTTGTATACAACAAACTCAATACGTATCAATAGACGGATCCGTTTATATACTGTTTATATGTAGATTAGTATTTAGTAAGATAAGTATCAACATTGAATTGTAACTGAAAATAACGATTTGGTTTCCCCACGATAAATATATGTACCTAAGATAAAATGAAGTATTAAGTAATTAGGCTTGTTTTGAGATAATTGATTGTTGATCCAAAATATTGGCGTGTTTCTGTTAATATCACTATATAAGTCTGCTGCCTTGGATAAACCAATCTGAATTTAGAATTTGCACTGTCATTTCCAAGTCCTTTTCTTTTTGAAGTTATGTAATTAGAATTAACATAATGACAAAATTTTAACATACTGTAATGTAAACACAATAATTAGAATACATGATATTTTTTGTATCTTTTAAATTATATTTCTGCTCAGGCAGTTCCATCTCCTTCTATTGTGACCCTCTTAGGGTAAAATGAAGCTATATATTAAATCTAAAAATTTTGTTTATGAGCTTTGCTATATTTAGTCTAAAAAGTTTTTTTTGCAGTCGGTTGATTAGATCATCGGGTTTGAAATATTGGTCTAAACAGTCTAGGTTACGGGCCTGCGGACGGCGAGCACGAGTAACTCGCCGCCCGATCAGAACCAGGCCCGACCGTCGCGTTCCGCCTCGTAGAGGGTTGATGCCGATACGGAGCCGCGGAAAACTTAACGGGTTTCCGGAGCTCCTGCTCAAAGAGCAGGATTAGGAACGGGGTGGTTTTTAGTCAGTAAGAGTCTGACACTCCCTCTCGCCCTGACCCGGGCTGGGAGAAGCCATTGGACGATTTTAACCCTAAAAAAACAGTCGAGGTTAGTATAGCGATTCTTTTGATGATGATGATGGAGTGTTTTTTTTTTTGTAATTCCATGATATCTTCAAGTATGATGTGTCTTTCCGGAAGCGGCCACTGCTAGAGCAAAAATAATCAGTACTGGGACCTGCATATTTCTCAACACAATACTTCCAGGTCAGTAGATATTTCTGTATAATTGGTAAATACCGTCAGATAATATGCTTACCTATGCTTCAATAATCATCTGACAATGCCTCTGATCATTACATTCAGGTTTTTTTAAACGTTGCCCCATACTAGGATTTTCTTATGTGCAGTGGGTGCGTTTACAAACATACACATGACACTCCTGCCCGAAACAACAATTTGTTGATTACACAAAGAATTGCTCCGTACGGGAGTCGAACCCACTACAAGTTGCCCTGTCACCGCATCAAGTTTCTTACCGTGCAGGTTTCTCCGCGAGTATCGTTTAATCAGTGATAATAAATAAAATACCTAAATAAGTTGTAAAATTTCCACAATTATCATTTTATCTTTTTGCACTCGATTTAGAGTATAGTAAAATGAACAACTCAGGACAGCCATTAGCCATTTTAAGGTGAGCTCGTTCGATAGGTGCGTAAGTACTGAAAGTTCAACGTATTAATCTAATTATCAACCGCTAAACATTTTTCCTCATTACTGGTTCTTATCTAGAATATCTTATTACACGAGTGTTTAAATTCTGAGGTGTTGTTGTTATATGTTCACTTGCTAATGATGAGATCCAGTTATCGCTTTTCTTGTTTAGATTTCTTGGAAAAACTATCGTAACGAGTGAAAAGAGAAGTATCGTTATATCCGAGCATTAGTCGGTGCAGTATTATTTAACACTCGCCAGGTATGCTACAATAACTTCTTTGTGATTTTATTACTAGTGAGTTTAAACTGTCAAAAACCAAGCGGTCACCGGTGACCGCAACCTATTGTTCTATAATTGTCTACAAAACCGGTACTCGACGAGTTAATATTTCACCAGGAATTCTAAACTCCGTTACTATTTTGGTCATTTTGTGACAGGGTTGGAATTAAATGTCAATTAAATTTTGTTGAAATTCTTATGTAATTTGCTGTTTTTACGCGGAGTAGCTGTCTGCTATTTGCCTTCCACATCTTACTAAGGATGACACCACTTTCTTGGTTAGACCTATTGTCTGATTTATTGAAGATTCTGTTTAGAATGATAATGCATACAATATTATGATACAGTGTACAATTCAGTCACTTATATTCATCATTATTTTAAACATAGGTTTTATTATCAAGTGTAGATCATACTAAATGGTGCTACTAGGCTTGCTAGAGTAATGAAAATAAGTACTACTACACTAGTATATTTTATGATAATACTTTGAAAATGGTATCATAAATGCACTAGCTGTTACCCGCGACTTCGTTCGCGTGAAATTATTCATATTTCTTGTTAATTTATACTTTTTTGACGTGACGACGTGTTGAATGGCGAGGCGTATTTGAGAGTTAGTATGAAACGGAACGTTTATTGTCTACTCAAGATGGCGACTGCGGTTTGTCTGTCAGTGTAATTAAAATGAAATAATCTCCGTAAGTAATCCGAATTTTGCGGATGTAAGTCGTCGACTCGAAATCGATATTTTGATATGTTTTGTTATTCAGGTAATGTTTCGATTGAGTCGACCGAACCCCTTGACGAAATTATTAATATAGATTAGTGCCTATTAATTGATAAAAACTAAATAATCGACAAAAAAATCTTCCTTCAATGCGAAATAAAATAAAAATACGAATTCGTTTAAAATGTTTATTAATATTGGTCCAATAGTTATTTACAGTAGTGCATTAATCCAATTTATGTACTGAGTGACTCTCGAGTAAGCAGATGGATTGCCGCCGGCGCAGCCTCCAGGTGCCCCGAATGACACAATACCAATCTGTAAAAAAAATCTATGTTAACCAGTCTTAGATTCATTGCATCAATAAAGTCATTTATAAAAAACTTAAAAAAAAGTTAATAGCCGGATTATCTTGTACCTCGTTCAAGTTTAATACAACTAGCCACCGTACTCGGAGTCATTCAATGCTTACTTACTTAAGCCAATCCTAAGCAAATGTTTTTAAAATAAAATCGTTACAAAAGAAGTAATTTTAAATGTCTCTGACTTCTCTGAGCACGGCAGTAACGCTGAAAAACTAAAACGTCACTGAATAACATAATATCACGCCTTTTATCCCCGAAGGGGCAGGCACAGGTGTACATTATGCCCCTGTACAATGTAACACCCACTTTTTCACTATTTATGTTATGAGTCCCATGTAATAGAGGGTGAGCCTATTGCCATATACCGGGCAAACTTCTAGACTCCGTGCTACTGCAAAGAATTAAAAAAACCCAGAATTACTTTGCCCGACCCAGTAATCGAAACCGAGACCCTTTGCCCGGCTGTCGGACTTGCGACCACTCCGCCAACGAGGCAGTCTCAATTTTAAGTCGCGGTTAAATATGTATGTCTCTACTAATTGTTTTAAAAATGAGTAAAACTTAAAATTGAGTATCCTTTCAGTGTTAAGGTGTAAGTCAAGAATATTCCATACTTAATAGTAGGTTTACGTTTAATCGTTAATTGTAGTGTAAGCAAACTTTTCATATTACCCACATAATAATAATAATACCTATTAAGGATTTTCTTTGTCTATACAGCGAACAAATTTTGTTGAGGTATAGTTGTGTAGCGCTTTCTATGATTGAATATTAATTATGGTACGATTGTAAACCGTTGAAAATTTGTACATACCAAAAGAGGTTTGCCATTCCTCTCAACTGCGAGAGGACCACCTGAGTCACCAGAGCAAACATTTTTATCGGTTACACTTCCCGTGCACACGATGGCTGGTTGAATAAAAGAACCTAGAACTTGGGCGCAGACATCGTTTGAGATCACTGGCAAACTCACGTAGCTAAACGGTTGATTCGCAATAACACCTCCAACTAAAAATAACAATAACTATTAGTTCGGAAAATCTATAAAGTATGGAAGATAACTATCAAACAATTTCTTACTTGAAGGATTTATTCCAAATCCCGATACGACAGCATTATCACCAACGAAGTCCTCTTGAAGCTGAGAACCAGAAGGAAGGGCGATGGGAGCCAGAATACCTGGATTTATATACCATAAATAAGTTTATTTCAATAGATAATCTTATTAAATTAAAAGATTTCTAGCACGAATACACTTCACAGTCAAGAATAACATATTATTGCAAATATACTGAACTCTGTCTGAAGTCTGTGTTAAATATGATTCCTGTTTTTTACCATGGAAGCATTAAATTGGCATAGAAAGTATCTTATCAGCTAATTTAGCCCATACATTTAGTTAATTGTAAGTGTGGGAGAGCCATGCTTCGGCACGAATGGGCCGGCTCGACCGGAGTAATACCACGGCCTCACAGAAAACCGACGTGAAGCAACGTTTGCGTTGCATTTCGTCGTGTGAGTGAGGTCACTGGAGGCCCAATTACCCTACCCTTCCCGAATCTCCCCAATCCTTGAATCCCTAACGATCCTCAAACTCCTAATCCCCAAAATGCCAGTAACGCTCTTATAATGCCTCTGGTGTTCCAGGTGTCCATGGGCGATGCCGATTGCTTACCATCAGGTGATCCGTCTGCTCGTTTACCGGCTTATGCCATAAAAAAAACCCTGCCTGTATACCAAATTTAATCAAAATCCGTTCAGTAGTTTCAGCGTGATTGAAGGACAAACAAACAAACTTTCACATTTAAAAATATTAGGATGATAGTTACTCACTTGAACTTTGAATTATAAACGGCGAATTAATGATAGCAATATCATTTCTTAGTTGAAAAAGATTATAATTTTCATGCAAAATGAAGTTGTTAGTTGTAAATGTTACTCCATCTCCAAATAGAGTGGTAGTTCCTAGGACCACAGTCACACTTGGGACATTTGATACGCCATCGTGTAAATTGTGTGCAGCAGTTAGTACTCTATTGTTTGAAATTAGAGCTGCACTGGCGATACCATTGCCACTGGGTAAGTGTACAATAAGTCCAGCCTGCAAAAAAATATTTGAAATCGATTACTTAGAACAGCGATTTTCAATTTTTTTTTGTCCCTCTTCTGTTCTATGTATCTTATTTAAGGCAAAGTGCCTATCAGTAATACTTCACAGCTTTTGTTAAGTAACTAAAAAAATCAGCATATTTTCGGTTGTTTTGAGTACTCACATACCTGATAAGGAAATTGTCCAAGATCAGCTAATGAGCCACCAACGATTCTAGATGGATTCTGTCTACCTTCCTTCTCAGCGATAAGTACTTTGTCAGCTAGTGGCACGGCGATAGCGGTGATGTAACCGTATGGAGTGATCTTTTCTAATTCGACGACATCTTCAAGCGTGATGTGCCTCGCAGAGGCGGCTACTGCTAGAGCCAACACAATCACTGCAAAGAACTTCATGTTGCAGTTCACAACGAACTCAATACTTACCTTTCGAGGACATAATTTATATAAAACCGAATTTTGTAATAAGCAGATAAGCCCTATTAATGTGAGAGATAATTTATTTAGTTTGATAACTAAAAATAGGACATTGGTTTCCCCAGACTGACATAATAAGTGATAAATATAAGATAAGTAATATTGATGCGGATCTGGAAAGAAGAATATAATATATAGAATCCTTTTATTCGTCTATATATATATAAATTATACATACACGCGCAACCCTAACGTTATTTTACGATTTTTTGTGATACCGGAATTAAGTCAGTCCATGCGTAATACCAATACATGTATGACGCTCTCACATTTAAAATTCATACGAAAATAAACTGCAAAAATTGATGGTGACTGGATTAATTATGTCAATAGTTTTAAATAAGTTCATTGAGTAAAAGGTTCTCATAATTTCAACCCTGCGTGTAGACTTGTTTTTTGGTCATATGAACCTTATCAGTCGGTAAGTTTACTAATTCATTTTGTTTGAGGTAATCACTACTTATCCGAAGATAAGCCTGACACACACAATGATTCGGATTTTATAGTGCCTCTATCTTTCATATTAAAAGATCAAATCAAGGAAATTCCCATACATGCGCTGCTGTCAAAAGAAACTGGGTACCCCAATATTTTAATCTATGCGTTCACCTTATCAGATTGCGATTGTGATTAGGATTTAAATATCACTCCCATTTTTTTTCTTTGGATGAGCCAATAAACGAGCAGACGATTTACCTGATCATGTAAGCAATTGGCGTCGCCCATGGACATCCGGAACACCAGAGTCCAGAAAGTAGGATTTGAGGATTGATGGGGATTTAGGGATTAGGAAGTCATGCGACGAAACACAACGCAAGCGTTGTTTTACGTTGGTTTTCTGCGAGGCCGTGGTATCACTCCGGTCGGTCCGGTCATCCGGTCATCCGGTTAAACATGGCTCTCCCACACTTAAATGATATCTGTTCAATTAAGTTCAATAAATTCAAATATATCTGTTACAATTTGATAAACAAACAAGGTAATATTGATAAGGATATTAATTGTTTTTCTGATTCTAGCGTCCTCCATAATTTTCAGGATCAGTATAGAAACAGATACTCATGGTTAAGACTAACTGTTATAAGGAATTATAGATTTATTTGTGAAACAGTTTTATTAAATTCTAAGTATAAAATAGAAGCACGGAAACCACACCTCTTCTCTATAGGAGGGTCACAGTTCAGAAGCGGATTGTTACTGGTTGTTGTCTATTTTTTTCCCATGGAACAGAAGATTAAAGGGGGTTTTAAAGCTAAACTAGTGCAGTATAGGTTAGATTGATTACATTGGACAATCTGTGTGTAAAACATACACCAATAGAATGTCTAATCAGTAGTACCAGGTACCACCTACTTCGTGACTTACAACATAGATAAGAGTCAATAAAGAACATACAATGAAAGTAATATTATCGCACGTCAAGCATATACCTTCGGAATCGACTATGTTGAAGAATGGGAAAATTCATCTATATCGTACAGCCAATTTAAGATTGGATTCTAAACTGCATCTGATAGGTTAGCAGCATAGTCGTCTTAACTGTTGATATCCTAATTATGGGATTTAATTATATCCCTAAGTCGGTTGTTCAGCAGCGGGATTATTGGGGGTACGCCTTTGTTCAGTAACATTAGTCTTCCGATTCATGATAATAATGTCAAGTAACACTCGTCCATACATCCACACTTTCTTACTAAAATAATAATGTAATATATATTGGTTTAGATTTATATACCTGTTGTAATCTAATCAAATAATCTCGTCTGGGCGTCATTAGTTTAAGCTCCGCCTAAATATTGGTAAAAAAATGTAAGTACATAATTAGGTCTATTTTTACTGATGTTTGTTCAGGGTCTTAGATCTTTGGAATTTCGTGTCACTGAACGCTTAACCACAATATTGTGTTTTTGTCTAGATGTAGTTTCTTTTTATATAGGTGCTTTCTATAATTTTATAGTATCAAATTTTTTTACTGAGCAAATTGTACTACTGCTAAACTTTGCTAAGATCATAAATACAATAATTATAATTTACGTTGTCAATATTAATGACTAATGGTTACTGGCCGCAATAAGCTGTTATTTTACTTATTAAATATTTGTTGTTACTGATATCGGTAAAATGTTGAAAATTTCCTGTATTCTGTCTGTATCAGCGTTTAATGATGATATCATATGTGGATTTAGTTACATTTCTATAAAAAAATCTTTTTTACGCAAAACAGTTTTAAAGCATGAAATAATAGATGGTTTGAATTTTGGACCTCAACAAGTTACCTGTTTGACAATTGTATTGATTGCTTATGATCCTAACTCGCTTTTTAAATATTAATAATAGTTTAAGGTTTTAATATGTATTATTTTATTAGCGCACACCTGATAAGGAAATAGCCCTCTAGCGGCGAATGAGCCCCCAACAATTCTGCTGGCATCCAGACCCTCTTCTTCAACTTTACAAATTTTTTCAGCTAATGGTACTGCATATAATGCTAATGGCTAATGGTACGATAATAATACTGACTCTATCTAGGTAAGCAAATCCACTGTTATCTTCGATCCATTCGATCGATTCCACTACGTCTTTAAGGCTTTCATGCCTTGCGAATGAAACCGCTACTAGTGTAAAGAGTCACTACAAACCATCTCTGTTCGCACATGAACGTGTCATGTCCACGAGATAATCCTACGTGATAAAGTACGTAAAAACATAGTAATTATTAAGTACTAGCAGCCCGTCCCGGCTTCGCACGGGGTAGACAATTATTTATTTTTGGAAATTTGGATTGTTGTAGTGACATAACTACAATAGTAGGATATATGCTACCGCGGAGTTTTATGTAGACATTATGACGCATTCGACGAAAGACATTTTAAGACTCTTTTTTCTACACCTTCGGTTACATTGTTCAAATTTTACCAAGGTTCCCTATTTTTTTTCAAAATGAAATGTCTCTTTCATTTTACAAAGAATTTGCAGTGACAGAACTAGGTATACTTAAGCGCGACTTATAAATAAGTGGTATTTAAGTATTTGGACAACAGTCTCTTAAAACAACGACTATAGCATCTGGCTACAATAGAATTGCACACAGAACATGAACACATTGACCTGAAGGACATTTGTCATTTTCTCAAGTCTGGTAACGTTTCCCATTATACACGCACAAATAAAAAACCACTGACATTTTGGTGCTTCAACCATTTTTTGGTGAGACGTTAGCATGAATACTTGAAGGCTACTCAATTTTAAGGTGTACTTAAATATCGTGTCATCTTTGTCATTTAACAAAGAATTTGTAGTGAGAGAACTTTTTTAGAACGTACTTGGTTTTGGATAACAGCTTGTATTTTTTTTAACTGACACTCTCTCCCGCCTGGATGAAGCGTCAGACTCTTACTGACTAAAAACCACCCCGTTAAGTCCTACGCGACTCTGTATCGGCATCAGCTCTATTGGGCCCAATCTGTGGTGGTCTGATGGCTCTTTGAGGCGCGCGCAGAACGCGACGCGCCGCACGCTCGGGTCTGGTTCTGGTTGGGCGGCGAGCTACCCTTGCTCGTCGTCCGCAGGCCCGTGCTTACGGTGGCCGGAGATCATCCCGTGATCTCTGATGCCCGGAGTGTCCTTTGCGACGGCAGGGTTGTGAAAAGGCAGCGCTTAGCTGTCTCATGCGCCCCGCCTCCTCCTTTGCTAGCATTACTGCTTCGCAGTAAGAAGAGGTGGAGTCACCCCAGCCCCCCTTGCTCCGTATCATGACCCAATAACAGCCTGTATAAGGAGGTATTCTATTATCATCAACAGAAATATAATAGCCGCAAGTTGCAGATGGACATAATAATTATACATTAATATTTAATTTATGAAGTGATGATTTAGGCATCGAAAACAATTAATATTTCCGTTTTGTAGACCAAACTTTACAATAATTTTATTTAAGAAATCATTAGATAAACACAGCGTTTCAAGCTATAGTTGAATGCTAAGGAAGTAACTGATTTAATTACGAACACGCCTAAATATTTATTACAGCAAATTGAACTAAAGTAAAATGTTTCTGTTCGAAAATTTAAAAATATTTAATAACATTAGATTTAAGGATATTTCCGAGCGGATTTTTTTATTTATGTAAAATAGGCGCTATATTGAGATACATTAAAATGTATTTATTTCGATACTTTAATTATTTATCTACATATTTTTGTTATTTTTGATAATAAATGTTTTATTAACTTTCGTTTCATGAAATTACTGTCATTACTTTGATTAAATGTAATAAATATTTTTCATCATTATTTATTGTTATAATTCACAAAGGCGTGATATAATTTACAAATTGTTTATTTGATCAAACAGTTGATAGTCCAAAAATTATACTATTATTCATACAAACACTGACAAGTTCAAATACCATGTACCCATGTACCTATTCTTAAGCAATTTTTAAGGCAGTAAATTAAAAATAAACACTAATTAAAGTTTGTAAAATTCAGTCATTTATTAATATCGAACTCTCTAAAGTCGGCTCTGGATCCAGCTCATGAAAGAAGTGACTCTCGCGTATGCGGATGGCTCACCTACTTGGCAACCACGCCAGTGTCCGAACGAAGTGATACCAATCTGTTGAAGAAATAATTGGATAAATAACGAGAACTATAGAAAACAATTTCCTTACATACCTATATTATTTCACGTTATTTCACATAAAGACATGTTTATTCAAAAGTTTTCTAATAATTATCAAATTATCTAATTGTACTAAAAAGTACTGATAATGTTCTACATACCAAAACAGGTCGGTTATTTCTAGTAACTGCCAGGGGGCCACCTGAATCACCGGTGCAGATGTTTCTACCACCAGCACCACTGGTGCAAATGTTAGTAGAATGGTAGTTTCCGTAAACTCTTGAGCAGTCTGAGTCTGAG